CGTATTGTGTGCGTTTGTGGATATGTGAGCCAAAGTTTCATCTTTCGTCGACGATTTGTTAAAACATCTCAACTGATTTCTAAAGTTTGAAAGACATTTGATGAAACTGTAAGGGCTCGCATCAATTAGTTTTGCACGACAATCGGCCAAGTCGTTATTATACAATTCCTAGGATACTGCAAAATTATTTGTCCACATTTTCAAAAGATATCAGTTGACTGGTTAGTTAACTTCCCGTAGGGTAAGTTATTGTGATCATCCAAAAATCAAAAATGAAAATTTAGGCTATGTTCAAGAACTCCTGAACAATTAAGCATTTCATGGAATAAATGAATGTATGCGAGTGTGTATGTTTGGGTACAATTTCTCGGACGCACGGATCAACCGATTTACATTATTCAAAAAACATTCTATTCCTATTGATGGAGTTGCTTAATTTTTAGTAGAGACAGGTCCAGTCGTTTCAGATATACGGAGCAAAAAGTTCAGAAAATGGAAATTCAGTTTTTGTGAGAACGCAGCAATCGATTTGAAAGACAGATCCAGCCGTTTGGAAGATGCAGAGCAAAAAGGGCTGAAAATTACTGTTTTTGAGACTACTTAGCATTCGGTTTGAATGATTCAATGTTTTACTTGTGTTGGCAGAATGAAGAATTCATTATATTTTTTCGAAGGTTTGCAAAAAAATACTTGCAAAATTTGTCATTTGTTCATCAAATATGATCTTTAAAATATATTGTTATTGATTCATATACAAATAAATTTAGTAAATAGGTAGACAGGTATACAGGTAGACAGCTAGGCAGGCAAGTAATCAGGCAAAAATAATAGAAGAGGAGATATGTAGTCGGATAAAATGGTATACTGACGAAATGATACACTGGTATGCTGGTAAATAATTGAATTATGTAGGCAGGTAAACAGATGAACAGAAAGACAGGTAGGTAAATAAATGGATAGACAAGAATAAGCAGACAGAGGAACAAATAATCAGGTGGATCATATGTTAATCAAAAAAAAATTGATTAAATTACACTTATGGAAAGTTCATGCAACTTGCACGAGGATCTGCCGAACAAATCTTCCTCAATACATAGTTTTGAAATGAAATTTTTAGTCAATTTAATAAAATTTTGCATATTGATAGAGTGTATAGTTTTAACAAACAACTTAATATATTATAGGTCTATGAAAATTGGTTTAATTCTTGATTAAGTCGATTATTTTACAGCTTGCCAAGGCAAATTACCACTTACAACTAGTTTAAGTAGATATTGAGTAAAACCAAAAAAGCTGGCAAATGTTTGTATATATTAATTTGTTTTGTTTATATATTCACAATACTTAGAACTAATGCCATTTCATGTTTAAAACAAATAGTTCTCAATTTTATTCTGCCATTTATTAAATAAAATATATATTACGAAAGCTCATTTTCAAAGCTCAATTCATACATTAAAGCACCACGTTTTTAATTAGATATTTTTCACTTAATAGTAAATGTATTATATCATGGCAAGGCGTACGTTAACATCGTTTTATTTTGTTAGTAAAATAGTGCATTACGCTAAAGCAAAGCAAGCTCAAATTTCAGTACCGTGATAACGATGCTCCCTTGCGTATTATAAATACTTTACTCTGACGATCATTAAAGTTTCATGTTTCGACAGCAAAAATTTATTATGTATTGCACTAGTCATATACGATAGTATTATAATGATTCAGATAAAATAATGGCTAAACGTCTGACCGAAAAAAATCGAGTTTTAAAATTTGAATATTCAGATCTATAACAGATCTAATAATCGTAGGTATTGAAATTTCTTGAAGACAATTGAATGGCGTGAAAAGGCACATAAAGGAAGTGGTTAATATAATGAATTCTGTTACACTTCCTTTTATAAACATTTCTCTATTAGCCTAAAAATAAGCTAAATTAACTCTCACTGATTTTACACATTGATTAATTCATTTAAAATCCTTCATGATAGTTACAATCAATGCTGTCATCCCGTTTCAGCATTTCGTTAAAGTTCTGAGACACCCTGTATATACCAACTCTTTTTTTTTATAATGTGAACCATAAGTTGATTAACATTTTGAGACAATATAAAACAAAAACTAGTCATATATGGCTTGTGCCTTAGCAAATTGCTGGAACATACCTTACCTTAATTGAAATTTCAAAAACTAAAAAGAATAATCAATAAAAAAGAGTGCACGTAAGGTTCACACAAGATTGAAGTAAAACTTATTTGCTACTGTACAAGATGGCATTTAAGTAAAAGCAAATACATCATATAACAATTTTGAATAATGTTTATCAGTAATTTGGTAACACTCGTGATGCACACATTTATTAGTGTCAACCAATATACACATTTATATAGTGATAAATAATAAATTATATATTTATAATAGCATTAAAAATATGTATAATATTTAAAAACAATAATGTTATTAGTCATACTTCAATTATGACATGATCGGTTTGTCATTGTAATTAGCATTTAGAAATGAATCTTCATTAGAGAGATGAAGTAATTGCTGATTAATAAATTCTATAATAATTGTTCACACAGTGTATTATGTTAAACAACGCCTAAACGAATATTGTTTTCGCAACTTCACTCATCATGTAATAATTGTGTTTGAAGAACTCCATATTTGCCTTTAGTTTTTTTATACTAACTATAGTAGATACGCCACTGGGCGTATCTACTAATTTGTAAATAATCAATTGTAAACAACTTGTCAGCATTCTCTGCTAAATATAATTATTTTTATAGATTGCAGAATAAAAATAAAATAAAATTTTAAAAAAATTTTAAAAAAAATTAATGATAGCTAAATTTATCTATTTAATTATTCATTTATTGATTTATTTATTTATAACGTCAATTTAATAGAATCGTAAGCATAGATAAAATGCAAAGCAAAATATGCTGATGCTATAATTATGATTACATTGTTTATTAATTAAATTTAAAAATTCATTCTCAATAATATAGTTTAATTATTACCAAATTAAAGTTGTTAGAATCAATGTATAAATTATCTTGAAAACGTCAAAATTACCAAAAGCACCACTCTATGCATTTAACAGGCACAATCATGTCAAACACTGAACAGGATGCTATATGGGTAAAGCAGTCGCACGAATTCTAGCATCATTGACATGTAAATAATATTCAATACCCTGAAATTCCGAATGGTTACATTACATGTAAAAGCTCTAGATGTTTTCAAACCGAGAGATAAAACAAAAATGCTCGTTGTAATACAATTCCAAAAACTATTATTCAAAGTTGAAGTGGTTCTTCAGATGAAAAGCTTCTTAACTTCAACATTTAAAATACGATGCACTTCATTCAAATGTAAAGTATTCGAAGTTTAGCGCAATGGCTAAGAAAAATGGTCGGCGGTATCTGGTTTCGCAAAAATCGAGAATAGTTGCACTTGCACAAAATACTTTCACAATATTAAAATACATTTTATTTTACAAAGCCAAGCCAACGTTTCACGATACTAATATATACAATACAAATTTCTGTAATAACAGACAAGATGAAACTGATCAGAATCATTCAAAAACTAAAAATGATTAGAAAAATATTGTTTGTTTTTTATATATGAACAATTTTTTTAAAAAAACATTATAATGAAAAAATGTAGAAGAAGTTGCAAGTTCTAAATAGAGAACGACATTTGAACTCTTTTTTTAATTGCATATTTTCTTTTCTAATAAGCGAAAGATCAAATACGGTTACGCTTAAACATTCTTCCACAATATTCAAAAATACCTTCTATTTTTCAAAATTAAGCCATTGTTTTGTGATATTAATACATAATATAATTTACTATAATAACAAAAAGATTAAAATAATAATAGGTGTTTATAAAGATTCACGATATATATGACAGATTGGACTTTTCTAATCGCATATTTGCACGAGTTCCAAAATTAAAAATCTACTCATTAGAATAACTTAGGTATGAAGTTTAAATATATGCACAATAAATTCAAATATATATATATATATATATATATATATATATATTATTAATAAACAAAGTTAATGCAGCTTTAATATTTGGAAATGTTGTGCCTGGAATACAAACAAGTAATTTAGTAAGAGACGTTGAAGTCAAATTTCAACTTTTTTTATACCTTGAAATCTACAGAAAATATTCATTTAGAAATAGTATATGTAAAAATGATATAAGTGCATTCAGCGGCAGACAGGGAAAACGCAATAATAAGAAGTAAAGAGGTATTCTGGTCTTGAGTTTTGAAAGATCGATTTTTTTTATATTACAAAGTTGAACTATTCAAGTTTTTTTTTTAAATTGAATTATTTTTGGAGACCATAAAAATTCTCGTCTGTTTCCTTTCCTTGCAAAACTCTAAACGCGTTTTTTCGAAATTGCCTTTTTTGATACGTTACCCAAGATTTCTCAACTTCTACTTTACTGATTTATTTGAAAATTTCATAGGGTCATCTTTATAAACTTTTCTTCAGTATAAACTACGCTCTCCCTCAAATTCAGATTTTCACTATTTTTTTGCAAAAATAGAGAATAAGAAAAAAATATGTAAAAGAAAATACTTGTAAGAAAAAAAATTCTTGTTCGTAGTTCATATGATTGCAACATTTGACTGGATTAAAAATATGGAAGGCAAAAATGATGGGTATGGTCAGTGGTCAATGTTTCGAGACATCTCACATAATTCTCTTCTAGAATTAAAACTCATTGACTATTTGATTTAATTTTATATTCTTAAAACAATAATTAATAACTTGAAAAAAATATGGTTTACCTTTTTGTTACGGTCTTACAAAAATCGCATAAAATTTATGCTTCTGGATTCATTATATGAAGTATGTATGTATATGCACCCAGGCTTCATTTGCCATCTAGTAACATCACGTATGCACAAATCCTCTGCATTCCGCATTACCGAAATAATTTAATACTACTATGCACTTTGACCGTAGGTGAAGTACGTGCAGCAGCGTGACGCTGGATCGTACGAGTGCCAGGTGTCGGGTTCTTCAGAGAGCGACCGCAAGATGAGTTCGATAGTGAACCTACATGTTGTGGTTCCTCATACCGAAATTCTAGGAGAATCCGATGTGTACGTACGAGTAGGAAGCACAGTGGCCCTCAGGTGTCTGGTCAGAGACGCAATGATAGCTCCGCCGTCATACATCAACTGGTACCACGGCGGGGTCAGAATACTGCAGACATACGGGGACAAATACACGCCTTGGGCGGCCAGTATGGAACGCACGCCGGACGATTCGACGGTAAAATCTTTACATGTTTCTTTGTTTTACAAATAAGCAACGGATATTTCGATACAACGTTTGAATACATATTTTCTATTGTAGATTCAAAATACCTAAAGCAACATGTTGTAAATTTCAGAATTATTTTTATATCAAATATTAAATATTTGCCTTTATAATTTGCTTTGGACAGAAAAGGGATAAACTTTGATTAAGCCTTCTTCTGTCTGTAACTCGTAAGATTTAATATTTTTTTATAACTAGCCAAATCAGTGTTTGAGTATATTTTCACGGATATGTTAACCCTTTGCACTGAGTCTTTATCGTGTTTGTATATGTGAATTATAATCGAGATTAACCTCGAAGTAAGAACTACTCACTGCAACAATTCGTTTTAACGTTAAGAGCAAGGGTTGAATGATTATATTAAATAAAAAACAATCTATGAAACTTTTTGGAATACGTAATTATTACTTAGTCTTCAATCAATAGATTGAAATATGATTACAATTCACATATACGAACATAACAACTACTTAGAGGAAAGGGTTAACATATCTGTGAAAACGTATCTTCTATCGGTTGAAAACGTATCTTCTATCGGTATCGGTTGAATCTTTTCAAATGTAAATATTTATTACCTTAGTTAAGTTATTTTTTTTTTTTTTTGTTAATCAAGACTTTAATGTCTTATTTACATATCAATTTTGTAAATAAGACATTAAAGACTTGATTAACAAAAATAAATTGTCCGCATATCTATAAAATATAAATATTTTAGAAAGAAACCAAATTTAGGTTTAGTAACAGGTTCATTTCAAATCAACGTCACAATGTTAATACTCATTGCTGATTAATCAGTATGTATATTTCAACATATAGGGTAGAGCGGGGCTTGAAGATCCGCGGGTGAAAAAGTCTACCACCAATATCTTAATAACAAGTATAGTTAAAAATTTTGTTTGAAAGTAGAGGGAAAAATATGAATAACCAGCCATTATTTTTATTATTATGACGTTGTTATCGGGAAATAAACGGCAATGTTTGAAAATCTATACCCTGAGTATTATCTTTCGTTGTTAGTTTTTTTTTTTGGTTGTGAGAACCGTTGTTTAGTTTACAAGACCTCAATATTATTTTCAAGAATATGTTTTTCAATTGTTTCATAAGATATTTTGTTAATTTTAAATTAGATTCAAACGTTTTTTATATAATCTCGGTAAAAACCTATGCATGGGTGGGATAAAAAAAACAACTGAAGTTTTACCCAGGCAAAAGTGTGAACAATAAAAATAGTTAATGAAGAAGTTAATCTAATTAAAAAAATCAATATTACAAGAGATAAGTTAAGTTGCTAGTTGTTCCAACTCTGTGGATGAATAATTCTGACGAAATACAAGTCAAGCTTATGTATGGTGTAATTTTTGTAAAAATGTGCCAAAAAAGTTTTTATTTCTCATTATTTAAATAATTTAGCTATTATCTCTTAAAATTCCTTTAAAATAGAGAATAAGGCATTGAATCTGTTTGCCCGTTGGGCGTCCCATTTTACGCGCCTATGCGGTAAAAGAACAAATTTTTGATAATCAGCAAAAAAAATTAATTTCTTAATTAATTTATTTGGGACTTTTTCTAAACATAGTCAGTTATTTGTTCGATATGCGGTATTTGTTGTGATGTATTTGGGTTGGTTTTCACAATATAATTGCTAGAAGTAAAATCAGAACCTTTGTGCCCTTTATTAAAAGCTGTACCTGATTTTTTTTTAAGTAAATATGTTTGCAGTAGATAAAATCAAAATTTGATTTATGATTTGATAAAAGCTACAAAACAGCTTTCAAATAGGACTTAAATTATTAATAAAAATAATAGAATGTCCAGAATTATTTTCTGTATAGTTTTATACTTCGTCAGTAATGATACTGTAAATAGTATTATGAAGTACTGAAAATTATATAAGTACAGTAGAACCTCGATTATCAGGACCACAGTTATACGGATTTGCGATTATCCAGACTACCAACCGCGACAGAGTTATATGTATGTAGATACCTACAACTCGAATTTTTGCACGATTTATGCTGCAGTTTAGTATATGTAAATAATATAATCTAATATAAGAAAATATATATGTAAATACATAAGGAAATGTTAATTTATTATTAAACATTGATTTACGTTGATGTCTATGTATGTATTTGTTATTTTTGATAAATACACATTATTCTTCATATATTGGATTATCCAAATTTTCAATTATCCGGATGCCTATCGACAACAATTAGTCCGGTTAATCGAGGTTCTACTGTAATTGTAGCGTTATCATAAATGTAATTTAATTTTAAAATTTGCGCATGCAAATATCTGGATTTTTATAATCCGGTAACACTGGTTGTAAATATGACATATTTGAAACGCGAAAAACTCTGAGAAATGTCATTTTTATTTCAGATCGGAATTCTTCGCATCGAGTCCGCTCAGCGCGAACATTCCGGCAACTACACATGCCATCCGTCAAATCTGGCGCCCGCCCGGGTTACGCTGCACGTACTAGATGGTAAACGAATACCTCGTTTTGATCCCACGAAGCATGTATCAAATAAATTAATTTGCGTTGAGCTATTGGATTTATTCGCTTTCATTTGGAATAAGTTCACGTGATAGCATGCTCGAAATACGAGTAGCTTAAACAGAAATACCAAATTTGTTGCTTTGCATGTGCACACTGACCGAATAGGAGATTGCATGTAGTACTTAGAGATAATTGTTTTGTCAACATTATATTATATATATATATATATATATATATATATATATATATATTTATATATGCATTAACCTTTGATGATATCACAAATTGTACAATGGCAAAAGACGGAAACAAATCAGTTGTTAAGTTGTAAAATGCATTAATAACGACGCAAGTCTAGGAAGCGTATATTAGATACCATCACCGCAGTAAAAAGCAAAATACCGTTTCAGGGTTAAAATAATAAAACTAGTGGTGTATGGCATCGTGCCTTAAGACAAATTGCTAGAACTTCCCGTACCGTAAAGAAATATTCGAGAAAAATTAAATATTTTCAAATCGATTATTATAAATACTGTAACTTATACATGTTTACAGAAAACTCAATCAATAATTAATAAAGAACATTGCTTAATATTTATAAGAATTATATGAACTAAATAGCAAAGTTAAAATTATTCATTTGAAGTATATATGTGATTTTTAGAACTTTAGCCAGAGTTAAAATTAAAATCCGAAATATTTTTGGTATTAAAAAAATATTTTTCTGAGAATTAAAAAAAAAATCAAAAGCAATGGTTAACACAAGCAGAAAGTCTTTTGAATCATTCAAATCGGATGCTTAGTTCTCTCGAAAACTGCCATTTTATGCATATTTACTCGGTATATCCGAAACGACTGGACCTTCCCTTGTCAAAAACTGATCACCACTTATCCTCGTCATTATAAATTGAATGTTTTTTGAATCATTCATATCGGATGCTCCTTTCTCCTAAAAACTCAATTTCGATTTTCTGCACTCTTTGCTCCATATCTCCGTAACGGCTGGACCTGCCTCTTCCAAAAACTAAGCAGCACATCTCCACATAGGAATCGAATGCTTTGGGAATCACTAACAAAAATTTAAGAATCATATGCATCCAAAAGTACAATTAACAAATAAAACAAATCCCAAAATTATTTATTTCATGAGCTCATCAATAACCATTCGCATATCATTCTATATATCGTTATTAAACTTCTGTTATGGGTACCATAAAATTAACTTCCTGTAGGGCAAGTTATAGAAATGGAACAAAAATCTAATTTTTTTTTTTGCATATTTTCTCGCTTCAGAGGTTTCTGAATATTTTGGTGAAGGTATGTGTGGAGACAATTTTTCGGAGATATAGAGCTAAATGACAAAAATGGCAGATATATTTGGATGATTTAGAAAACTTTCTGCTTGTGTTGAATCGAGAATAAGAATTTTTCATCTCAATTTTTGTTTTTAATCTTCAAAAAACATTTTTTTTGTATATCGAAAAATAATTCGGATTTTAATTCTAATTTTAGCTAAAGTTCTAAACATCACTTTGAAAACATTTAATATTCTTCGAATATTTCATTATGGTATGAAAAGTTCCAGCAATTTGGATCAAGGCACGATGCCATACATCACTAATTGTTTTTTTTTTTTTTATCTTATCCCGCTATCTGCATATATGCTTTCAAGTTAAATTAATGTTGGTTTGCGTTTTATGTCACTTCCCGCCCTTTTTACAAAATAATTATTAGTTCTTTGTTTGCAAATTCTATATAATCTGCACATGAATATTTTAAACAAAGCTAAACTGTAATTGTTAGCTTAAAATATTTGTTATTTAGGTCAAACTCGCCATATATCGCGATAATAGCTTGTTATGAAACATATATATTGGTATTGAAATTGATATGTGATGCAGACTTGAAATTGATTCTAGGATTTCAAATTAAATTGCTGGAAAATATTGCCTGTTTTGCATATAAACAATTTTTGGTAGAATCACACTGATTAAAAAATGTGACATAACTTGCGAAAAAAATTTAAACTGTCGTTTTAATTAAATTTTTATTGATTTGTAATTGGAACTAATTTGAATATTTATAAAATTTAGTAATCTTTACTATACGTTTTGCAAATCAAACCTAAACGGTATATTTTGATGATTATTTCTTGCTGTCGAATTATCTTGTATCAGAACATTCTTAGCTTTATCATTAAAATTTGGTAATAAATAATTAATATGGGTAACTCGTAATGATCAATTAGAAGTGTGGATAATAGAATATTGACCATAAAAGATAAAAATAAATATGATTTAAATTCATGTTATCAATAAAAATCAATACATCTATCCCCCGTTTCACCCGTTACTCATTTTACACGATTTTAAAATTATAAACACTAACTAATATAGGTACGATAATATTTTCATTGGTTCACTATCAAAATACAACATTACAAAAGGTATGTTACAGTTACGAATTCTATCTCAAAGTCTATGTCTATGATTCTATTCACAGTCTATGTCTTATGATGGAAGTATGTAGATAAGATGAAAACTCCCTGCTTTATTAACAAAACTTAAATGTGTGCATAAGCTAGTTTGTTTGGAATACCAGAATAAAGTGTTAAGACAATCATTAGATAGATTAAATGATAGATAAATAGAAGCTCGTGATCCACCGAGATGCTACCGAACTCTATTAAATTGATACACTTTGTTTATATTTCCGAAGGACCAGATATAATTAGATGATGGCTATATAAAGCCGATAAGATTAAAAAGATAATAACATTAAATTTGAACCAACACTGATTCACAAAGTTTCTATATTTTTATATTATTTTCTGATTGATCCGTTTTGTGGATTTAAGCGACATCCTATTACATTTTTGTTCAATGAGTTGTTGACCTGCGATTTGTTTGAATCGAGTTCAAGGAAAAAAATTTTTAGAAGGAAGTATTAATATTTGAGGGTCTGTGAAGAACAGGATATATTATATTGAAGGAGTTCAACTCCTGAGGACAGGTGCCTCGGGAGTTGACACAAAGAAAAAACTTTGTTTTTAATTAGTGTTTTTATATAATTGATAGCATAAATTTATTCAAGGCAAGCAAATAACAGAATTGGTTTTTTTTTACAAAATCTATAATTTATATAAAATTTTATAGTTCGACAATGGCAAAAGATAAAAATAAATAGGTAGAGAGTAAGAAAAAAGTATGTCAGAAGTGGTTTTTGGAACCTATCTTCCGTGTAAAACAGGGAATAGATGTACTTAATATAGTATAATACTACAACTAGCTTGAGTAATGATAGTGTTCCTAGTAATTGATTCATTTGACAATATTGATATGCTTGCATAAATTCACCGTCAACATTTTCTATATCCATAAATTATATCGATAAATTGCTTCAATGCAGGGCATGTTATAAAGTGCTGACACACAATTTTAAATTGAGTTTCGTAGTATTTTATTTATATACTTGACGCCACTTTATATGGTTTTCCTTATAGTTGATACGAGTATCCGTAGTAACAAGATTAATTATCTTCTGTAGAAGTGAGAATAATAATCCTCAAAAACAATATATATAAAATTTGTCTATTTTCAGGTGAACACCCGGCAGCGATGCAACGTGATATAAACTCAGCCGTCTCAATTTCGCAACTTGAACATTTGTTCAATGTCTTTTTATCGATAGCAATCGTTTTAATGTTATCGATACATTGATTTCCAGAATCATGATGCTAATGAACCTACGTTGAATAATTCCATTATTCTGTTACATAGACATTTATATCTACGTTTAAGTAATAATGCATAATGTATACAATGTTATAATGCTATCTAGGGTAAATTCTATAAATGATGAGATTAAGGCATTTATATGGACAGGCCGTGTGTGCATATGGAGTTGCCAAATAACACTGATAAATTAAAATATATACATATTTATATCCAATATATTTAATGAAATAATAAATATGTTAAGAGACGATTGCACTATGCTCTAACAATGAAATGACGATGTAATCTTATGAGCTTATATAGATGGAATAATTATGACTGTCTACATTATATTAGTTTTCTACAATCTACCGAATGCTCACAAATTATCATTAATATAATGTAAGAGCATGGTTTAATCGACCTTGAGTGTATATTAACAAAAATGTTTAAAATTAACGATAATTTTCTAACCAGAAATAATTACATTACCATGTACGTCTACCTATTTTGTCTAATCAGCTAACTTGTTCTAAAACTACTTTGAAACTATTTCTATTCTTAATAAATATTGGCGTCATTCTTTATCCAAGCATTAGCAATGACCAGAGAATAATATAAAATTTATAGTTGATTTATTTTGAAAAAAAACCGATATTTTAGGCATGCTCTGGTCTGATAAATACCTTTCTTTCTGATCATTTCTTCATCAAGCAAAGAAATCGCAGTAATATTTATGTTCTTTTAACAATAATGTAAGAATAATATTATACACTATAGATAAGGTGCCTCAAGTTTAA